CCCTTGGTAACATTTGCCAATTTGTGGTGACCCCCTAACCGTAATTTAGGGATGGACCAATACTAGTATCTGTGTGGGCTCTCAGGAGGCTATGCGGGCTCTCAGGTGGCTAGTGGGACTCTCTGGTGGCATCCAGTGTGGCCTCTGTGGTGCCCAGTGCGGCCTCTGTGGTGACCAAGCACTCGCCTCCCCTCACTCCTGCCTGCTCCCCTCTCTCTGATGCTCTCCGGCTGCTGCAGCGCTATCTAGGAGAACTGACACTGCCGGGCTAAGAGGAGGCCTATAGCAGCACAGGTCGCGACCCAAAAGCGGGTCGCAACCCACAGTTTGAGAAACACTGGCGTAAACCCTTCCCTATTCTATCCAAAACAAAAACAAAAATTTAGGGCTGGAGTTACACTTAAAAAATGTACCTGTTCCAACTTACATACAAATTTAACTTCAGAATAAACCTACAGAACCGATCTTGTATGTCACCCGGGGACTTCCTGTACTGCAAAATTGGCAACACTCTCTTGAAGAGTCTCCATTTAGCTCAATGACTTGCTTAGGTGAAATGTACTCGGAATAAAAAATGAAAGCCCGTGGCACCCTTCCCAACCACCTCAATCACGTCTTGCACATTGACTCCAACAAATGTTGCCCATTTGGGGAAATTTTACCAAAATGTCACAATTTCAGCCACGATTTTGGGGAATTCTGCTCTTCCGTATCCATCACTAGAGATAAAAGAAGAAGAATGTTTAGATGCCGTGTCAAAGTTTAAAGGATGCCAGAGAAGACGGGTGTTGGGAAGTTTCCAAGATCCTAACTCAGAATTTTTCCGTGTGTTCCTCCTTTATTTAAAACGTGTTACCCTACACACAAGCCGTGACCGAGAATCTGGTTCTCTGTGTGAAGGACATGGAAGGATCGGGGAGGTGGTGTAAGAAACGTCCTCTGCCAGTTTTTATTTTGTGATGCAACGCCGGGCAGGCGGAGGATGTAGAAATCTGGGCACCGAGTTCACTGTATAAAAACATGTTGTCACATCTTCCGGGAAGAGAAGGGGACGCTATACAGGTGACACTACACAGACCCTACACAGACCATCCCTACACACAGTCCTCCACAGACAGAGGACAAGATGAAGGTCTGGCAGTGTGCGCTATGGATCTCCGCTCTCACATTGCAGGCGGCTCGCTCTCAGTCTCCGGATCGGGAAGAATGGATCAAAGAGGCCTTGGACCTCTACAACCAGAGGGAAGATGGAGAGTTCTTCTTTAAATTCCTGTCTGATCTCCCGGCCGCCCCCCTGGAGGTACAGTATGGATGTTTTATACTTTTCTTACCCAAATATGTCGCCTACAATGGTCGGAGGGCAGTACTGTAGAGCAGACTGAGACAAAGCAATAAACAGTGTAGCTACAGATGTACACTGTGTGTGTAGATAGATAGATAGATTAGACAGACAGATAGATTTTATATATATATATATATA